AGTTCGCGGATTTCTTGCTTTACATCCGGGCTTGTATTAAGGTCGGACTCTTGCCTCTGGCGAAGAGTTTTCAAAAGAACTTCGTGGCTGGTTGCTGATTCCTGGAGCTTGAGGAGTCCGTCTTCAAGTGTCTTTAGTGGCTTTTCAAACCCGCTTACGGGTGTTGCGGTAGATGCAGAGACGTTTTTAGCTGCAGCTGGCCCTGGGTTACTTATAGCCGTATTCTTCTTTTCCTTTTTAGGTTTCTTTTGGGCTGGATCTACGGGCGTCTTGTCACTGGAATCGGGTTCGTTCGTGGTTTTGGGGATGTTCCTGATCTCGTCGCTGAGGTCATTGGTACCGTCTTTTGTCACTTCAGCTGCTACGACAGGTGAGGCACCAGACCTGACTGATTGGTGTCCCTCCTCGCTTGGTGGCTGATAACCTGTGTTCTCAATAGCTTCACAGATCTCTTCTACCGATGCTGGGTTCTTAGTATCCAGGAATGATTTTCCTGTGTTACGTCTAGCCTTTTTCTTTTTGCCTTTGATTCGGCTTTTTTCCAGCTTGAAATCTTCACGGCGATCAAGCATATTGACTGAAGTAAAGTTTTCGATGAGGTAAGACTGCAGAAGAGTTTTCCTGGCCTTAGCAGTTCTTGGTCTGGTTAACCCTATTCTATCCAGCTCTTCGCAGACAGCATTATCGTTAAGTTTTTTCGTGATGTTTTCGATCACGAGAGGAGGAAGTTGTTGTTTGTTTTCTGAAACCAGAGTCAAATGTTTTGAAAGGATCTGCCTGTTCTTTTCTGCAGTATGACTTGGTTTAAGTTCACAAGCTTTAACCCAGCTGATTAGCGGTTTAGCGTTTAGCTTTTCAACAACATCTTCCAGGTTTGGTGCGCTAATGAATTTATTGATGGGCCTTTCTTCCCCGACCGTTTCTTTATCAAGATTTTTGGTCGTATCATTGTTGGCCTTCTTCTTGCCGCGAGATAAATCTGTATCATCGGAGCACTTGATTTTGATATGGACATTTGTGTCAGTTTCTCCGTCGACTTTCTTCTCGTCACCGGTAATTTCAGCTGTGATTTCGGAGATCTTCGCTTCACTCATATTCTCGGGAGAAATCTCCTCACCAGTTAGCTTTAACGGTTCAGATGACCCTTCATCATCGTCTTTCTTGACCGATGGTTCATGGGGCTCTGCTTTTTCACCATCTAATTCATGGGGCTCCAGTTTATGGGGCTCCACATTTACCCCATCTGGGCTCTTGTTGGACAAGTTGAAGCCTCGAGCTGTGACTTCAGAAATCGTTACTTCACTCGCATTCTCGGGAGATATCTCCTCGTCAGTTTGCATTGAAGGTTCAGATAGTCCTTCTTCGTTGTCTTTCTCAGTGCTTGGTTCACTTTTGTCTATAACAGGTATTTTATTACTTGCACATTCAGTTCCTTCCTCATTGGTGATGATCTCTGGGGCTGCAGTGTTTTTGGTTGGCGGTGAGTCTAGCCCAGGAACACTTTTTTCGGAATTGCAGTTTCCGATATGAATCTCTTTAACCGGTTCCACAAACTGATCTGTTTGAATATAACACGGTGAAATTAAGACGTGAGGATCTTGGAGATGGGTACCCTCACTGGCTAGACTGATGTCAAAGTGCTGCAGGGTACTTGGGAAGATCGTTAGAAGGGAAAAGTTCTCGAGTTGCACATCGCAAATATTTGTCCGAAATGGGTCACGTTTCTTAGGGATAACGTCAACATTTCGACATGTTTTGCCTAGATGGAGGAGAATGATGGGTTGCCCATTTTTCTCATTGAGGGTTTCAAGAGAGAACTTTTTAGTCCGATCTGGTAAAACAGTGATCTTCAGTCCATTGAAAGAAGGCTTTGATGGTAGGAAACGAGCAGAATGGTTAATCATTCTACCGAGGAGGTATAGCAGACACTTTCTTTGATCGATCGGGGATGGCGACTGACCAAAATTTTGCGTCTTCGAGACGGCCTCTACCTCCTCCGTGGTCCAAGCAAGGCTCACCGAACTAAATTCTTCAAGCTTTGTACAGTCATTAGGTATGGAGAGTACTTTCTTCACTTCACAGAAGAGTTTCCCTTTATCTATCCTTCCAGTGTCGTGTCTTTCCAGATAATCATGTTCAAGGTGAAAACAGTCTCCTAGTCCGTTACTACTATCGTACAGGCCGGAATCTCTTATTCGAACGCATGTTTCTTTTGGTGTTTGTGGGGAGTCAAAACAGAACGACTCAGACCAGTTCCTTCTTCTTGGTGTTCTCTTGCCAGTCGGAGTCTCATCCAATTGGCCGCTTTGATTTTTCAGATTCGCTCTTTGTTTTTTCCTCATGATTAGGGTTGGTGGTAATTCGTAAGGCCCAGCTCTGATGTATGAGCTCTCGGACTTGGACCTTGCCCTGACTTGTGTTAGTTGGGCACCTCTCAGCCTTTGAGAGATGGGTGTTATCTCTGGCTTGGCGATTCCAGCGTATGAGACGTCGAGAGCGTCAAGTTGCGAGGTGTCGACTGTTTCGTGTTCGACGTGTTCATCCTCTACGTCGTTATCTGACACCTTTTCTTTTTCCTCCTGTTGACTCTGGTCCAGGGTGTTGGTGTTTTGAACCGTCGTGTCAAACGATATTTCGGAGAAGTCGGGAATACTCCCTAAATCACTAATCATTGACAGCTCACCTATCGGATCCATATTTTGCTCCCGGCGGCCGAATAGGGACACGTTCTTTGTAGATTCCCATATCGAGCGTGATATTCTGGAGATGCCTTGAAGTACGGACATATCGAAGATTGGGTAAGCTGATTTGTCATGTTCCACCTGGGTTGAATTAACAGCGACAACCTGGCTGTTATTCATTGCTATTGGAGACATTTTGGTGAGGTCAACACGCTCCGTAGTGAGGTTCACTATGCTCCTTGTTTCATTCTTGTTTGTATGATCACTGTCTTCTTCTTTATCTTCCTGATCAGTTGTCACACTAGACTCGCATTCATGGAGTAGGCGAGATCTTTTATTGTTTTCATCCTCCACCATGTCTCATCCATTATCAAAAGCATACTTAAATTATATATAAGCGAATTTATTGTTTTAACCTTTGTTGTCATATCGACAATCTAATATGAACTCTGAAGTTATTGTATGATACGTGAATATATTAATTCTTACCGGTATTAACTTAAATCTTAATGATTTAAATCACAATCTCTAATTTGATGTTTCATTTCTAACTTTCTACATCCCTAATTATACTTAATAAACAAAAATTTAGTAAAAACTGTGATATTTCGGTCGAGGAAATTTCATCTTGTCTCTGTCCGGAATTTAGCTTCCAGTACCACAATTGGCTCTCATGTTATTTATAGTTAACTTTCTAATTGATCTCAGGACAAAATTTGTCCCGTCAGATTTGTGAAATTTCGGTTCAGGAAACAGTCTACATATTTTGAAATTTGACATTATCAATTTTCCATTTTGTCTTATCCTTGTTTTGCGATGCATTCTCTGGCCGGAAGCAAACGTTTAGTATAATTGTGTATCTTATAATGCCATACATATTTAACTGACTTGTTGGTTATTAAACCAGGGTTGTGAAAAACGTAAATGGTAAACTCAAAAAACGTTCAAAACGTGCTTTTTTCTATTTTTTTCAAAAAACGTTCAAAAAACGAGAAAAAACGTTCGCATAATCTTGTAGCGCGATGCACTACTGGGTCGCGCCGCGCATCAAATAATTCTTCTCGCAACCATTTCGCGTTCGGTAGATCGGCGAGATGCACCACTGTGCCTCACCGAGCTGCGAAGGATTGACATCGTGAATCAAGCATAATCTAATCAAGCAGACTTACGTGAAAATTCAAAATGTAGCGGGATGACCAATCAAACTTGCCAGTTGTGTTGACCAGGCATGGCTCCAGGCTCCAGCCGATTATTCTTGGGGGTTCAACTTGGTGTGAAGCACCAAGGAGATTCACATACAGCGCCGAAGGCGCTGCGGCAGGGGCCTGGTCTGGGGGCGTAGCCCCCTTTTTGTGGGGGTCTAGGGGGCGAAGCCCCCGGAAAATTTTGCGTTTTTAGAAGCTAATAACCTTACCAGAAAGTGTTTAAATTAACTTGAAGAGTTCAATAAAACATTATGTTTTAAATGTGAAAATAAAGGTAAAAATATTTTAATAACAATTAAAACATAATTGACACTGGGACTGTTCAATTCAACACAACTCTGCGGTTACTCTCAGCAAACTTGTTAATAATGACAGTAATGTCTATAGCTTTGACAAGCTCCTTTTCGTGACTGAGAAGGGTAAGGTCGCTTGTCACTGAAGACTGCAATCTGCTTATGTGATTGTGGCCCAGGCCTCATGGTGTTCGTACTTCGCTGGTTGTTTACTGGTAGTCGGTGACCGTCAAAACATTGTAAATTTTCGTATAAATCACAGCGTTTTTAAAATAAATACGCAAAAACCTTTTAAAAAAACGTAAAAACGCTCCAATTCAAAAAAACGTAAAACACATATTTCACAACCCTGCATTAAACAGACATCCATTTAAAATTGTAGACTGATCAGCGTAAATTTTAAAATCTGTCAACCAAATTAACACCAGGATGAATTTAAATGGAATTGGAACTATATTTCACAAAGTTTGTACTACAATCTAACTTCTACTGGACACAAAGCTAAGTTTGAAAAGTTTTAACATCACTAATTTGAATGTTCAAATTCTCTTCTTCCATATCATGCGCAGGTTATATAAAATTATTGCATGCAATCTATAGAATTTAATGATTCATAATATAGATGTTTAACATGTCCTGATCACGGACCAGTGCTGGAACAGGAGACCTTAGTATCCTATCTTATGTCTCTACTGTTATAACTTATTACAAATTACAACTGATCAAGACTAATAATATGCAGGGAGGTGCCCGGAATCACGCAACTTCCACGCGTTACTCCCAACTCCTAACTTCCTAAGACAGTGACTCCATTACTTAAAGTATCTGACTAGCTGTCCAGATCAGTCCAGTAATATTAATAGATCGATATCTCAACCGAGTCACTATGTTACGTTTTATCCTCTCTGTTTTTTCGGTATTTGTTGCCTGTCCAGAGTTTACTATCGCAGCCAGCGACACCAAGAGCGATACAGCTCTTAGGTTTGCTTCTGAATCCGGTAGTTACATATCTTACAACCCCAACGTTAACTCACTGACAGAAAAGTTTTCTGTTTGTGTGTGGGTCCGCAAGTTCCAATCTGGAATTAACCCATGCCCGTTTGCGTATAAAGGTTACGAGATATTCATGACAGACAATGGCCACTACAACCGACTGTTCGGTTCCAGCTCCCTGGACAATGTTCTGACCAGCAAGTTCCCAACTGCCAATACTTGGTATCTGTACTGCTCAACCTGGAGCCTTGCTTCTAGAACCTTCCGAGTGTACGTGAACGGGCAACAAGCAGGGACCCAGACAACACCCTCCGGGAGAAGGCTGCAGACAGGCGGAACATTAACCTTGGGGAATAATTCACCAAATTCAGGGCACCTTTTCGGAGGCATGCTCTTTAACTTTAATATGTACTCTAAAGAACTGACGGCTACAGAAGTAGCTGCCCTGTCTTCAGCTGGATTTTGTGCAGAGATTCCTGAGCAGTTGGAGGAGTACCGGGTAATAAAGTGGGAAGACATTCTCAAACTGAGCAGATCTGGTACTGTGTTGGACGAAGACACCAGATGTGCCGCATTCGTTGAACTACCGATATTTTGGAAAAAGCTGGAATTGGCCGTGGCAGAAAAGAATTCTCTGGAACTATCCTTGAACAAAACGATGACAGATCTACTCAAAGTTCAAGAACGCTTCAACTCTACTCAGGAGGAACTAGTTGGGGTACAAGAACGCTTCAACTCTACCCAGGAGGAGCTAGTAGCAACAGAAGAGGAGTTGAATGAAACGAGGAGCGACCTTCAAGAAACGAAGATGGAACTTAGGAATCTCACGGAGTCTAAATGTGCGCTAAAGAAAGGGAATTTGACAAAGTGGGATATGTTTTATTCGCCCGAGTACTATAATAAAACCTTCACTCGCACTCTCTACCAACAACTCACCTCAACATGGGATTCAATTAGCAGTAAGATGCAATTTATATTCACTTAAACTAGTCAACGTTTTTATCATATTGTTTCGCAATTGAAATGAAATTCTTTTTAAGGAAATTTATTTTGCATGCTTGATACTAATTTAAACCAGTAACATACATATTTGTCCATTTCGTTTGATAAAACTTTATTATTACAGTTTACGAGTTCAATTAGTAGCACAACTAGAGCACAATAATAGTAATCAAAATTTACAACCACTCGATATGACGTGACCGTTTGTATCCTAAGCAACGCATCTACTTCCTGGGCTACAGTATTGACTTCGCCATTTTCTCCTCCCTCACCGCCATCTTCTCCTCCCTCTTTCCTTCACTATGGATCTGAATTCTGTTACCAATGTTTTAAACTCGTTTTCATTAAAAGAGCTGAAAGCTCTTAAGGCCAGTGTTGAGAATGTCATGAAACTTAAGAGAAATTCTGTTAAATGCGAGGACTTCTTGGAGTTGCATTCAGATTTTGTTCAAAACAAGAGTGTTCAGCATGGCACGTTGATGTCTGAACTTGAAACACTTATGGCCAAGCAAACTGCTGTGAAAACTGCCACAAAGTGGCTCACTTCCACTGGAGAAGAATATGTATGGTCTTCCTCAAATGGACACACCACGACTAAGGAGCCAATCGATATTTTAAATTATCCTGGGATATCAGAGCTTATGCACGATATCAACTCCAAGTTTGGCTGCAAGCTAAACTCATGCCTAGCAAGCATGTACAAGTCTGGTTCTTGTGCAACTAGGTACCACAACGACGACGAGGTGTCTCTCGACCAGTCGCAAGGTATTTATGTAGTTTCATTTGGAGCTGAGAGGACCCTCGACATAATTCCAGAAAATGGGGATAAGCGATGTAACAGTAAATGCCATATCACCCCAAAGGACTGTAGTTTGTATATTATGAAACCGGGGTGTCAGGAATATTGTCTTCACAAGGTTCGTGCAGAGAGATCAGCTAAGGAGACTCGGTATAGCTTATCTTTTCGCTGCCAGATACCGAAGACAGATACAAATGTAGTCAGGGAGCAGAATGTCTTCACTACAATTCCTATGCCGCCCACCACCACCTCAACACCAACCCTCTACTACCGAAATGCTCCAAGAAAACCGAAGAGCAGGAAAACCACTGTCCTGTTTGGTACGTCAATGACAAAATTCGTACGGACAAATAAGTTGGGATTCCGGGGAAGGAAAGTAATCAATGTGTCCCAAAGTGGTGCAAAAATTAGAGACATCACTGAAAATATTCAGCATTTTCATAAAACTCATGCAGCTGCAGAAGCTGACGATATCGAAAAGATTATATTGAGTGTTGGTACAAATGACATAAAACATTCTAAGTATGGGGTTCAGTTCCTTAGGAAGTATCTTAATGACTTAATTGACACCACTAAGCAGTTATTTCCCGCTGCAATTATAATTATCCAATGTTGTCTTCCTATTAAGTGTTTATATTCCTACATAGCAAAGAATGTTCTAGATTTTAATAATCTTCTTAAAGACTTATGCCTAAATAATAATTGCGTGTTCTTAGACTGTTTCTCAGCCTTTTTAACTCGAGACTTTAGATCATGTAATGAACTTCTATACCATGATTGGCTTCATCTCAACATGAGAGGAGTAGGTTTACTGTCCACTTGGCTTAAGTTTGTTGTAAACGAACACAGTTTTGACAGGGTTGTAAATAATCTCCTGGGAATTTAAATCTTTGATCTTTTCTTTCATTTAATATTTTGATTAAGACGTTGCGCCTAAAATTAAAACTCAAACAAATCTCTGATTTAATCTTTTTCTCAATTTTATGCCTCCTATTTCAGGTACATTCGGTCACTGCCCATTTTCCCATATGTTAGACAATGAATCGTTTAGACTTAGAATAGGTCTTTTTGCATGCAAAAGGCCTCGTACACAGTCAAGAAATGCACATATACATATCAACACGTTTATACCTAACAAAATTTACACATTTAAGTCTCCATGCACCCCACACATCAACTACAATTATCATAATCATATGTTTCTCTTCTATTCTCTTATCATGACTTACTTTCTCCCAATTCTTCTCTCCACGACTAGGTCCATGAACACTGTACTCCCCCTAGATTCTAATATTCATTCCTCTCTACTCCTTGACAGCCCACGTTATCTTATACCATTTCTTGCTTGCTCCCACATCAAACTTTTCTTTGTAATTATCTCCTCATGGTTTATAAGAAATGTTCTTCTCCCTGGTAAGATGAATAGAGTCAAGTATTCCAGCCGCCTCAGGCGTCTAGTCTCTTTATTCATTCTTTGGGTTTTCTCTCTTAACTTTCTTTTGATAACTCTTGTTAATCCTTCTATGCTTAATCCAGGTCCCAACTCCCTATCTGTACTCTACCAAAATGTCCAAGGTCTTATTCCTTTCAGTAACCTAAGCTCCTCCCATCCCCTTCTTGATGGTAATAAGATTTCCGAACTTCAATCCTTTGCTAACATAGAGCAGCCTGACATAATTGCCCTAAATGAGACTTGGCTCAAAAAATCTATTTCTAGTAACGAAATCTTTCCTTCTTCTCAATATGAAATCTTCCGCAATGACCGCACGAGAAAGACTCATCCTCAAGATCCTAATAACCCTAAAAAGTTTAGGGAAAATGGAGGTGGTGTTCTTTTGGCTGTTCGGTCTGATCTCGATGCCACTACAACCCGACTACCAGTTAGCCTAGGTGCAGAAATGCTTGCCGTTAAAATTGCTTTTCCTAACAAAGAGAGTATTGTAATCTGTACTTGTTATAGAGTAGGAACTCTTGGGTTACCTAATCATGATGTCATAGTTAGTTATATTCGCAAGCTAGTTTCCAAAAAGAATCCCCCTAAAATCTATGTTATTGGTGATTTTAATCTCCCCCATACAGACTGGCTATCTTCATCCAGTACCGTACCTATTGAGCAATCCTTCATAGATTCTTTCAGTGATCTTTCTCTCTCCCAGTTGATCACATCACCCACCCATAAAAGTGGTAATACATTAGACATTCTTCTCAGTAATTATGATAACACAATCGATAACTTGAATGTCTGTGATCCTCATTCCGTGTGCAAATCTGATCATTTTCCTGTCACTTTTTCAATTAAAAGCTCCTTTTCCCGCAAGAAAACTCCTAAACGTAAAATCTATAATTATAAGAAAGCAAACTGGGACATGATTAATCGTGAATTATGCTCGATTAATTGGCAAGTCCTAGAATGCCTAGATCCTGATTCGTCTTGGAAGTTAGTTAAAGACTGCATTATGAATTTAGTTGATATACATATTCCTAAAGTAACTATTAAATCAGAGTTTCAACCCCCGTGGTTCGATAGTGAACTTTTTTCTTCATGCCGTAAAAAAGATAGACTCAGAGCTAAATTTAAAATTTCTGGTTCTATTTCTGATGAGTTAAAGTTTGTTACTAGCCGTAAAGATTTTAAGAGGCTTTCATCAGCCAAAATAAGAGACAATCTTTTCAATAGTGATGATCCAGCGCTTATAACTAAGAAGTTTTGGTCACATGTTAAGTATAAATCTAACTCCTGCCGTATTCCTAATTGTGTTAGTTATTCTGGACAGCTTCGGTTCAAACCCAAAGCTCAAGCTGAACTTTTCAATTCTTTCTTTTATAACCAGTTTTCGGATCCTTCACTTTATGACACTGACATCTCCTATGTCAATGATGTTGATTTTGATATTGACTTCGATCATCGGGATGTTCGTAAGCTTCTTTCAAATATTAATTCAAATAAAGCCCAGGGACCAGATGGCATACACGGTAAAATTCTCAAAAATTGTTCCGTAGGTTTAGCTTACCCTCTAACATGCATTTTTCGTGGATCTTACAACAGCGGCTACATTCCACAAGAATGGAAACTTGCAAATGTTGTCCCAATATTTAAGAAAGGTAAGAAAAGTGAGGTTGAAAACTATAGACCAATATCCCTTACTTGTTTAGTCATGAAAGTTTTTGAGCGCATTGTTAAACGTAAACTGCTTTCTTTGACAAGTACCCTTCTTGATCCCAGGCAGCATGGTTTTCTAGAGCACAAGTCATGCACAACCAATATGGTTGACTTTTGTGATAGCCTGGCATTGTCTCTTAACGAAAACATTATCAATCATGTTGTGTATTTTGATTTTGCTAAGGCATTTGATTCTGTAAATCATGATATCCTTCTTCATAAGCTAAAGACCTTATATAACATTGATGGTACACTTCTCAAATTTCTTACCAATTACCTTCAAGGCCGTTACCAAAGAGTGGTTATTGGTAATGAGATGTCATCTACCCTCTCAGTTAATTCTGGTGTCCCCCAGGGCTCTATTCTTGGTCCCTTACTTTTTGTATTGTTTATCAATGATATTCCTCTTGGCCTTTCGGATAATACTGATATTGTTTTGTATGCCGATGATACAAAAATCTGGCGTAAAATACATTCATCTTCTGATAATACTAATTTACAAATGGATATAGACTATCTCTCTGACTGGGCACTAAGAAACAAAATGCGATTCCATCCAGCAAAATGTAAAGTGCTTATTGTTTCAGGAAAACCATCTTTATCTCCTCCATTCGCATATAATCTTGATGGCTCTCCTCTTGTGTATGTAGAGTTAGAAAAAGATCTTGGAGTCGATGTTACTCCTAAGCTAAGTTGGAATAGTCAGTGCGACAGAATTTATACTAAGGCCTGCCAACAACTTGGTATGGTCAGAAGAGATGGCCATATTGTCATTGATCAGAAACGTCGCCGGGCGCTTTACCTCTCCCTGGTTCGTAGCCAATTCGAAAATTGTTCCATAATCTGGCGCCCTTGTAATAAATCACTTAGTGATAAATTAGAAAGTCTCCAAAAGAGAGCTATTAAATGGATTCTGTCTGAAGAGGGCCGCAGTTATCCACCTGAGCAATATGTCAAAAAGTGCAAGTTTGTCGACATTCTCCCTTTGTCTCAAAAGTTTGACTTGAATGATCTTATTTTTTTCCACAAAGTTCTTAACAATTTAATTCCTGTATCGCTGCCTCACTATCTCTCTTTATATCAGGGCACTTCTCGACTAAGACGTTGCCACCTCGACAGTCTGTCTATTGTGTCATCAATTTTACCTAAGTTAAGTCAGAATTCACACACCACATGTACCTCAAATAGCCCACTGGCAAAATCATTTTTCTACAGAACCCATATACTGTGGAATGGACTCCCTTTACAGGTAAGACAAATTGTGTCTACTAGTCTTTTCAAAGCTGAGGTCACTAAGCATCTATGGAAATGTTTATTGGATAGTGAAACAACAGTCTAGCCTAGTCTCTTTGCTCCCCATATTATTATTATTTTTGTTTTATTAATTCTTTTATCTACCTTCCTATACTTTCAACATCATATCACACTTCACCCGCACACCTTCTCACACATTAATGACCATTTCAGACCTGTATCTAATATATCTGGAATTTGACGTATTGAATTACCAATTTTGACTCTATATCCACAGTTATTCACCATGGATTTGTTTGTTATTAAATAGTTTTTCATAAATTTTTGGATTTAGATTAATTCGATGTAATGGGTCCAAGTTACTGCGGACATAGTTCACTATGTGTTTACCGTGTTTGGGTGCCCATCATATTTTACAGATGGGGGCGATATTTTGAACGATTCTATTTTATATTCATCTATTGCTGTACTCTGTAAAATTTGAAAAGTATTTAATAAAAAAAAATACGACATATGTATGAGTATTGCAGTGTATGTTCGATACCATAAAATTCTTGCAATTTATTTAATTCGATCAAAATATCAACATATTTTAAACGAATTGATACCAGATCGTTTGTAAACGGGAGTTCTAACTTCTCCTCTCATTCAGGTCGACTGTTTGGGATGAGGATTACTGACAAGGTAATTGAGCTGATAAAAGATCTGGATGACGATCAGATCGATCACTGCGGAGAACTATCATAAAGCCTTGCTACCAAAATTATGTAAGTTACTTACCACACTTAATCATTAAATATTGTTTCATTTTCCAATGTCAAAGCAAGCAGATTCAATAGTTATCTTAATGCTTAAATTGAAATGTGTCGTTCGACTTTTGTAACATAATTTCAAATCAGGTGTTACCGGAGAGAAAATGCGATAAACTATGCTGACGGTCATAAGAATGACAGCTGTATACTGACGCTGATCTTTTTGGACGATGTTTACCCTTGAGAACGTTGAGAACCTACCCTAATTGAGAACGAGACGAAAACATCCCGACCTTCCAATGCTGATCACGATCTACTTCAACAACGGAGATAATTATACGGATACCTTTAAGTTATGGACATGAAGTGCACATAGACTGGAAGCACACTGGACTCAGTTATTATCAATCTTAATTTTAAAGGACCTTTACTGATAGTTTAAATTCGACATATGACGTCATCTAGCGTCATCTAGCGTCATCTAGCGTGAAATATCGCCAGATGATGATAGATGACGCTGAATGACGCTAGATGACGCTAGATGACGCCAATTAGCGACATTGTCGCTAAGTGCACGGCACCTTTCGAATGTCGCTATCTAGCGCTATCTAGCGCTATCTAGCGCTATCTAGCGCTATATGACGCTATATGACGCTAGATGACGCTAGATGACGCTAGATGACGCTAAGCACGCAGCACTGACGCCAGGCGACAGATAGCGCTATTTTCATAAAATTTCCGCCCTTTTTTTGCGACATCTAGCGGTATCTAGCGCTATCTAACGCTATATGTCGCAACGACATCTGACGCAGCGCTATCTAGCGCTATATAGCGCTATCTGGCGCTATCTAGCGGAGAATGTCGGTTTGTGACAGTTTACGCTAGATAGCGCTAGATAGCGCTAGATTTCGCGGCGACAGCTAGCGCTAGATAGCGCTATCTAGCGTAAACTGTCACAAACCGACATTCTCCGCTAGATAACGCTTGTTAGCGCTAGATAGCGCTATCTAGCGGAGAATATCGGTTTGTGACAGTTAACGCTAGATAGCGCTAGATAGCGCTATCTAGCGCTAGATATCGCGGCGACAGCTATAGCTATGGCTATGCCTATAGTTGTTAAACGTTAAATATCTAACGTTGGTTATAAGTTTTATTTTTAACGTTGCAAAACGTTTATTATTTGACGTCAGATCAAGGTTACCTTATTAACTATACCTTACTTGGGAATATTATAGCGGGTTAATTTATGACTGGGAAAATTAATAACCGGGAAAAATATGGCGGAATTCCCCAAAACCCGCCAAATTATCCCGGTCATGTATTTACCGGTGGCCGACCTTTCAAGTTTTTTTTCCGAGGTCAACAAATTTTCAACCGAAATTTCTGTTTTTGTTACTTGTTAAAGAAGTTATTTCAATTTACAGTTACTGATATTACTCAGAAATAGAAAAAAAAGACACGTCTAGTATTTAAAGGAAAATAAATCTATAGCAATAATAAGTCAAATCTTCATTAAACTTAAAGCGTATTCTCATTATCGCTAATGTCCCCTCCATTATCATTATTGATATCCCCCTGCTGCTGACCGTCATATTCGAAGTTGTATTGTTGTCTTAACAATACTTTCATTTTGTCCGCTAATGGGGCTACTGCTCTGAAGGTCAGCCGGAGCTTAATTTCCTGCCCACCGCTTGATATTGGGGAACGTCTTGGCTTTGCATCTTCAACTGCTCCAGTAATCAATCCACCGTGGACCATGAAATAGTGGCACAGTTTACTCACTTCATGGGCAAGAAAAGTGAGAATCACGGTCCACCCTGAAATCTGATTCCTATAACCAAATTGTGATTTTTATAACGAAATTATGGTAGCAACCGCCAATAAAGTTACAGCCCTCCATCCACTGCTTCAAAAGTCTTCTAGCACATATGAGACTTCAGGTAAAATATGATGATCACCACCCCCTTGGAACCCCATAATCTGAGTCGGCGGGTTTTTTTATGACTGGTAAAATTTTTGACCGGGAAAAATATGGCGGAATCTTCCAAAACCCACCACTTTATCCCGGTTATAATAATCCCGAGTAAGGTAAGCAGAGTTTAAAATTCAACTACATTTTAAAGTTGTATGTAGGTTACATATAAAACGTTGTTAAACGTTAAATATCTAACGTTGGTTATAGGTTTTATTTTTAACGTTGCAAAACGTTTATTATTTTACGTTAGATCAAATTACCTTATCAACTATAAGCAACGTTCAAAACTCAACTAAATTTTAACGTTGTATGTAGGTTACATATAAAAACTTTGCCGGCTGGTATAGGCTTAGACTAATATTTGAGAAAAAGCGGCGCGTGATAGTAAATTACGAGTATCACCCGTTAACGAGTGAGATTCGTCCAGTATAACCTGTTTATGCTCTAACCATAGCCCTCTCGCTAGTAGTACGCTTAGACACATGGCTATGTGAAAGAAGATGATGTAAAGATCTAAATGTTAAATTAGCATTTGCAAATTAAAATAGTATTGAAATCTCGATCTCGCACAGCAAGTTATTAAAAGAATGTAATGAGAGTCGAGCCGAATTTATTGTTCAGTAATCACATATATGAATATCGTACCCACGAGTTTTCAGTTTACGAACTACGCGCAAGTGTGAAGTGCAAGCGCGAAAGCTTTAGTGCAATTTAGCTACGAAAATACTTAAACCCTTAAATGGCGATGCATTCAGTATTTAGAATTAATATATTATAAATTTATAAGTTATGTCAATCCTCTTACCTAGTACCTGGGGACCCAGGCTATTATGTACATGTTCATAAACATTAAGATTTGGCGAATAAAGATTTGGCGGAATGACAGGCTGAGCGCGGCCCAGTAACAATCCTCGGGATCGGAATTATTTTGGATAAATACTTTACAGCTTTGAGCTTCGAGTAATCTATTTGACGATGTTTGTTGTAGCGCGATGCACTACTGGGCCGCGCCGCGCAGCCAATAATATAATGCTTCTTGCAATCACTAGTGCTTTACTAAACATACTTGGTCATTACGTTACTGTATGTACGAACTTTTAAAAGGTGTCGAACTGTACAAATTTTAAAAAGCTGTCGAGGAATTTTTACCGAATTTTTAAACAAATTTTTGTTTTTTAATCAGTAATCACTTCAGTCCAAAAAATTTGTTATTTTTGTCCGGGAGGTTACATTTCAGATTTAAAATATTAATATGCATCCGCACGTCATCGTTTCCCGTCATTTTAACACAAATTTTTGCAATTAGCTTTTTATTATATATTTCGAAAATTTATGAGGCGAATTTTTCTCAAACTAATCCCGAACTGAAAAAACGTGCCGAACTGTACGAATTTTTTAAAAACTTTTGTACGAACTGACCAACTATGTTACTAAATTGGCGATATGCACCATGACTGGGCCTCGCCGAGCTGTGAACATGAACAGTGAAGGATTGACATCGTGAATCAACGCGATGCGTTACTGTGAGTGTGTCGCGCCGCGCATCCAAAAATGCTTCTCGGTATCCAATAATAATTTTCGGCGAAATGCACCACTGAGCTGTAAAGATTGGCATCATGAATCAACGATGTTAGTAACTTGTATAATGTATAAATTTCGTCGAAATAGTACGTGCCGCTTTCTTCCGATCCCGAAATGTTAAGGGTCGACGGTCGTTTACATATTACTATTAGTATTACGTAATCAGCTGAGGAGGTTGGGGTTTTCAAATGATTATTGATTACGTTAGTGTAATATTGACATAAATATTTTACCAAAACCCATAATCATGGGTAGAGTGGACCGCTGCCAGTGTCTCTCTTTCCCAAACAAAAGGAAATGATATTAATTTGATTGACCGTTCTCAAATGCAAAATGATACCGAGAATGAAATCGGTCGCTCGCTTTTCCCATTCATTCACGGCTTACGAATTGTATAAATAAGTTTCGATTGATTACATCAATCAGATGCTGTAAAAATCTCTTTGGGTTGCGTTCGGGTCGATACCTAGTATTTCGGGGTAAGGGACAAGGGTGGTAGTTATTACTTATTGAACAAGCTGGAGTTTATTAAATCTTCATTGCCGAGTACAGCTGCCTTTGGGTAGTTCTTCTTAATCTATTACAATTGTAAATTAATGGGAAAAGCGAGCGACCGATTTCATTCTCGGTATCATTTTGCATTTGAGAACGGTCAATCAAATTAATATCATTTCCTTTTGTTTGGGAAAGAGAGACACTGGCAGCGGTCCACTCTACCCATGATTATGGGTTTTGGTAAAATATCATCTCTTTTTGATTATAATGTCAGGGTACTTTATAAAGTCGAAATATAAACTGATATCTTCATTAATAAGGAGGAAGTTTCAACGATTTCGAAATTTTTCCTTTAAAAACATATCCTTGTGTTTAGGGAAGCATATCGGTCGATCACTGACTGAATATGCCACTTAATACTTATTCAAGTTGGCATTAAATATATATAATGACATAAAACTGTCGTGGCAAAGCAGAATTTGTTGGAAATCACGAATGAGCAAAATTCTCACCTTTCGCACGTGCAAACTTTGAGCGGACGTTGCGTGCGCATACAATATTGAATCGCCGTAAATTTTTGCATGTAATTGTTTTATATATAGCTTGATAAGCATGCAAAGTTTCAAAGTATTTCAAGAAGAACTGTAATCACAACGGCACTCTAAAGTTGACAGAAAATGACGAAAACAGCAATTTTCAGTGATTTTAGCAATTTTCTTTCAATTTGGGCGTGTCCCCACGTGTGCAACTTTTCGATTTTCAACTTTAAAACTAGCCTAATGCACAATTTATACCTATAAGAAGCAGAAATGAGCTCCACAACCCAAGGCATGGCCCAACACCAGAGAATACTAAATCGCAAAATTGACGTTTTTATAAAATAATTCTTCAAAAAAGCACAAACTTCAATAACGAATATCTTTATGAAGGAGCAAGCTAGAAAAACTTTCCGGTAGATTTTCAGAATGCTTGAACAATTATCTAAGGTGAAAATTTCCTCAGATTTTGAATAAAATTACATCTTAATGGTTTAAAATTGATTTTAAAAGTTATTACTTTGTAAAAAATCAAGTTTTAAAAACGGTTAACTTGATGACGTCATCAAGGGGTGTTTATGACGTCAAATAATTTTGTTATACAATGTAAACTAAAGTGTAAACAATTATTTGCAAGACCTGTGGTCGGAAATGGCTGTATCTTTTATAGGTACAAATCTACAGACACCTGAATGTAGCCTATAATTGACTGGCAAAGCGTCTATCCCTGAATATATGTATGTATGTATTTTACCAAAACCCATAATCATGGGTAGAGTGGACCGCTGCCAGTGTCTCTCTTTCCCAAACA